AAATCCTATAATTAGAAACGTCAACAAACTTGCGACACTTCAATAGTCATACGATTTTATGAGATGTAATATGAATGACCGATGCAATTTCATGTTTGTAATAAATAAACGATATGAAAAGCTGTTTATTAGCTAGGGAATATAGCCGATTCAGAGTCAACTCGTCCCCTGGTCATCTCGTCCTCTGGTCAACTCGTCACCTTTTTGGTCAACTCGTCCCTCGTAGCCTATATCCTCCCATTTATGACTAATAACGCTTGTTTGAAAGTTTGTTACGAAACAATCGAAAACAGAACAATTTAAAGTCATGAGACTCTCACTAGATTTGCTGTTTTGTAAACAAGAAGATAACATTCTAATAAAATTACCAATGTTTTATGTCGTACGGGGGTAGCTGTTGTTATTTCAACTTTGGTGTTGAAATCAGGAAATTACAGAGGTGTTCTAGGCCGTCCGTTCTTTATGATCGGTTCGTACCAGAACTAAAACGTACCTAGCTATTGCTAAGCTTCCTTAATTTTTGTATCGAAATAATATGGCATAGTGCGCGTTATGTATATATTATGAATATAAATTGATAATTAACAGATCAAGCATATGATATCTGATATAAGAAAAGAAAGATAATTTGGCAATCTGATGTAATAAACTTTAGGGTGTCATCAGATTTAATAACCAGGGAGACAACTGCATACACAAACCAATACAGACTCCATAGAATGCTATATGATAATGTATATACATGTACTTTAATTTAATAAGCAAGTAAGACTGGAAAAGGACCAAATTATAGTTCAGAATCTGAACTTCAGATGCCTATAATTTTGAAAATGATCACTCAAGACCTGATTTTTGTAACAGCCTTTTGTAAAAGTGCACATTATGGAGAATAATGTACTAAATTAAATGAGAATTTCAATCCAATACAAACACAGTGCAGTCTCTGATAAGTATTAATATCTTTACAATGAACAGTTACATTTACTGAATTGTTTTATATTTATTTAATCAGAAAATTGTTTTTCTTCATCAGGTTTACTTATGATAAATAAAATTTTGTGTTTTCACAAGTTAACTTGTATTAACTATCCCCTAAAATATTGCAAAAATCTACTCCCATTTGAAATTTCATTCTTGCATTGCTATTCAGTGCAAAGCTTGGTCTTTAAACTTATCCAGAGTATCCACTCTTAACTTAAATATTAGATCAGTGACACCCTGCTGTAGCATTTTACCATATCTATAAAGCAAACAAAATAATTTAAATGCAGATGATTCTAAATTCCAAATTTCACCACTTTATGTTCAAATGTTAAATTCCGCTTAAGCAAGTGCTACGAGGGGGGCATGGAAGGTAAGTTGCACTTTCCAGTATCGTCCATGAACAGGGTCACCAAATCAAGCCTGCTACATTTTCAATTTTGTTCTTTTGGGCTTTCTTCAGGAATTCTTCATTTCTCTATTTTCGATGTCAAATGTACCTTTTTGAAATTCAGAATAAGACCACAGATTGTAACACTGTTTTGCAAATACTTTTTAATCTTAATTTACACTCCACTTTTCTTGGCATGTTTCAGGACACATTTTGGAATGTTGTTAAAATAACAAAAACACAGATAAATTGAAACATTTATTTAAACATTGGCAGTACACAATAAAATATTTTCAAATGAACAGCAGATCTTATTTTTCTTACTCTCAAAATTGTACACCAGTGACTTCTTTACAGTCATAGTTTAATCCATGTTGTTTTGTGTTGTCTTGAAGCTGGCCAATATTGTAGGAGGAAATAAATGATATTTTTATTCCAACCAAATTGTATTAACTTGTGCCTACCCCTTATCAGTTTCTGATGTATGAAAAGCCATTGTGAACTTGACCTAACAACCTCCAAGCTAATGCTCAATTAATACTCTAAGCAATGTCCCAGCAACTGTTAAAAAACTTGGGACAATGAGTTTACATGTCACTAAGGCATTGAACTTATAATCAAATGGACTCATCTAAAAACTAATGACAATCAGCATTTTTCCTTCTAAGTTACATACACCATATCTTACAATGTTACATATATTTAAATGCAGTGAAACTTAATGCCGTCCTAAGCATTGACCTAATTACCTCAAAATCAGTAGGTGCCATTGACTGGGGAAGGGCAATGTCCCTACCAAACCTAAAAAAAGCTTTCGCCTGAATTAGAATATTTTTTTATTTCCCCCTCCCACTACCCCTACCTAAAATATTTTATTGCCCAGGTTTTTTTCTTATTAAACATAAAAGCAGAGAGTGTCAATGAGAATCACATCTTCTTATCTGTCTCATGGTATTTTAATTGTAAATATGAAAATGTTGGGATGATTGTTGAATGACACTGAAAATATGTTTCTAATTTTTAAAGTTAAACAGAAGCCATCATGCTAAACATTCACAATTTGTTTGAACTACATATAATTTTGATGAAAAAAAATGGATAAAAATAAATATTTAATCATCTAAACTCGAATGGGTTTAGGGAGTAAAAAACAAAGATAATTTTAAGGCTTGCCTAATTTGATTTAACTAATTTGATTTAACAAGGATGCTACATAAAAAGCCTCTATGTCATTGGTCTAATAAACTTGACAGGACTACAAACAAAGTCCTTTCTATGAATAAATAACAAAGTTAGGAAAATTTAATCAAAATTAAAACATTTGACATTAAAGGTCATTTAATGGTCAAGGTCATTTAAGGTCAAGGTCGTACCTAAATAATTCCACATATCTGTTTGGTCACAAGTGTTGTTTAGTCCACTTATGAATCAAATATGTTCAAAATGACCACTTTACAAAATTTCAATAATTTGACGTTGACCTTTTTTAAGACAATATTAGCAGTAATAAGTGAAAATAAAATAATTTGACCTTCAATATCAAGGTCATACATATGTCAAGGTGAATTTGAGTTTGATATACATGAAAGTCGTTGAGTTTGGAAATGAAGTTACTCCATTTAAAGGTAACAAAGTTATAGCCAGTTACTGAAAAAAAACAAGAGAATTTCATTAATTTGACCTTAACATTCAATGGCAAGTTAAGGTTAAGGTCACATCTAAATTATTCAATATGTTTGTTTGGTGGCAAGTTTAAATCAAATCAATATATAAATAACAACATTATGACAATTTAACCAAAATTCAATATTTAACCTTGCAAGTCAATGTCATATAAGTTTAAGGTCAAGATCAGTTCAACTTTCCTAAAGGCCTAATCCAAAATGTTATTTTGTCAAAGTATGAAGATAATCCATTTATCAATTACCAAGTTATAGTCATTTATAGCAAATAAAAAACAGTGAAAATTCAATAATTTAACCTTAAATGTCAAGGTCATAAAAGAGTCAAGGTCAATTGAGTTAGGTAAACATGAAGGATGTTCTGTTATAAAATAGAGTCATTCAATTATAACAAAGTTATTACCTATTACAGCACAAAAATGAATATTTCAATAATTAGACCTTCAAGGCCAAGGTCATTTATGAGTGAAAGTCAAGGCCTGTCTGGTTAATTTAAAGGTCTATCCTAAAAAAGTATTATGCTCAAGTTTAAAGGCAATCTATTCAAAAATAAAGTTAGAGCCACTAATAGCAAATACCAAGCAAATCCAAAATTTAGACATTTAACCTTGAAGGTCAAGGTCATTAATGAATGAAGGCCAAAGTTAGTCATGTCTTCTTAAAGGTCTTGTTGCAAGGGTTGTGGTGACCAAGTGTGTAAATAAAAAAGTAAGAACTTATGAACAAGGTTTAAGTTAGCAAATGGCAATGCTTAAGTGACTGTAACCTCTATTTCTTTAAAAAAAAATAAAGAAAGAAAGAAAAGTTGAGCTAAAAATGAATGACATATGTACATGTATATCAAAAGGTATAATTGAATAATATTTTTAACTTTGTTTACCACATTAAAGCTCATGACAGCACTTATAGTTTGATAGATTGGATAATATTTTGCACATATATTAAAAGTAGTGTCATTTTTTCTGACTTAATGTTACAAACCTTGAGTCATGACAAATGAATCAAGAGAATTTCGAAACAAGAGAGATACAGCTCTATATCTAAACAAGAGCTGTCACAGGAGACAGCGAAGCTCGAATAATGAAATACTGGACGCAGTAAGGAGGACAAAACTATGAAAGAAAAATCAATTATGTATAACTATGTATTAAGTTATAGTAAAAAATAATATTTGTTAACATAAATTCCAAGATCAAGGGGAATAATTCTAGAAATAATGCTAGAGTTATGGACCTTGTCACACAACATTTGAGTAATGATAAGAAATATATATTTGAAGTTTGAAGTAGATACCTTAAAAAGTAAAGAAGTTATTATATTTCTTAAAGAAAATCCTAAGTCCAAAGAGAGATAAATGTGTAAATATTGCTTCAAGAGTTATGAACATTGTCACATAAAATGTAATCGATGATAAGGAATAAGTATTTGAAGTTTGTGGTAGATACCTTTAAAAATAAAAAAGTTATAATATAAAATAACATTTTTCTAGTAAAAAAATCTAAGTTTATGGGGAGATAATTCTTGCAATATTGGTGCTAGAGTTATGAACCTTGTCACATAAGATGTGGATGATGATAACGTAAATATATTTGAAGTATGAAGTTGATCCGTTTAGAAAAGTCAAAAATAATATTTTTTTATGGAAAATTCTAAGTTCAAAGGGAGATAAATCTGAAAATATTGGTGCTAGAGTTATGAACCTTATCACATAAGATGGGGATGATGATAAGGTACATATATTTGAAGTATGAGGTTGATCCCTTAAGAAATAAAGAAGTAACAGTAAAAAATAGTAATTTTTAAGGAAAATTCTAAGTTCAAGGGGAGATAAATCTAAAAATATTGGTGCTAGAGTTATGAATCTTGTCGCCTAAGATGTGGTTGATGATAAGAAACATATATTTGAAGTTTGAAGTTGATACCTTAAGAAATGACAATGTTATAGTGAAAAATATTTTACTTCACCAAAACTTTAATCTAAAATCTGGACGCGGACGCGGACGCCGACGCCGGGGCGAGTAGGACAGCTCTCCATATACTTCGTATAGTCGAGCTAAAAAATCTTTCATAAAACTATCATGAATACCAAGTATTCAATGTAAGCTTAAATATGTTTGAATAGTATGGCAAACAGTGTAACAGATTATTTATCATTCTTGTCCATTAAAAGTCAATCAAATCTTGATTTATGTTCCTCATGAATGGCTCAGGTAGGCTATGGGCTAACTTTGGCTAAATGTTTGGCTAAAATTCTGTGGGGGTCATCTTCTTCTAACTTTCTTTTTATATATCCCCTTTTTGTCATTTATTCTCAGGGTTATAGAATCATGTAAAATGGTATCCATATAATGATACTTTTTCTTCTTCTTTAATTCATAGACAGACCATCTACAACTGTTTTGTTCCAGATTCGCTGAAGTCTAAAATGAGAAATTCACAAGCCTATTATAACAAAAGTCATTAGTGTATACAATTCTCAAAATGTAGAACATGTCATTAGGTCTTCTGTTGAAATCCAAAATTTGTAAGTCAAGTTATTCAGAGACTATAAAATCTCTTTTGATTGAAAATAACATTATATAGGCAAGGAAAAGCACCATATTTTGGAAGGCCAAGGCAAAATTAAGGATGATGTGACTCCAAGACTTCCACTTTCAAAAGCCATAGTTGATAAACTGCAGGATGTAAGAACTGACTTGATTAGATTATATTTTTAAAAGACCATGAAAATATGCATGTATTCACTACTACTCATCTGCATAGTGATCACACTTTTCATAATGATATCATTTTATTCATAGAGACAGGACTATTTAATACTAAGATATGCAGCATTTATATTCATATGCAAAAATGAAGGAAATGTTGAGAATCTATAGGCACAAGGAAGATAAAGCACAACTTCATTAACAGATTTTGATCATTTTTGCCTCTTTATATGTTTCTATGAATAAAACATGAGGGCCATGATGGCCCTAGATCGCTCCCTTGACCCATTAACCGCATCCAAGCAATGTCTTAGACAAGCATCCTGGCCAAGTTTGATGACAATTGAGTCAAAAATGAGACCTCTAGTGTGTTAAAAAGGTTTTTCCATATTTGGGCAGTGTGACCTAGTTTTTGACCGTAGACAACCCATATTCGAACTTGACCTAGAAGTCACCAAAACAACCTTCCTGACAAATTTCCAGAATATTTGGATCAATACTGCAGCATCTAGAGTGTTAACAAGATTTTTCTATTATTAGCTCCTGTGACCTAGTTTTTGACCCGAGATGGCCCATCTTCGAACTAGATCTGTCTTTTATTGAGACAAACATTCTAAAAAAAATTTGATGATGATCCAATCAAAACTGTGACTGCTAGACTGTTAACAACCCAATTGTTGACGATGCAAGGCGACGGAAGCCGGACATGGCCCCATCACTATACCTCACCTTGACCACTTTGTGGTCAGGTAAGCTAAAAGGAACTGAATTATTTTCATTGAAATAAACAAAGAATTATGTTAGGTCCAAATCAGACTGTGTGCAGCTATGTTAAACATAATTTTAATTCAAAATAATTCGCTTAATTACCACAAACTGTGGCATTTTTTTCATTTTGTAAAGTTGTGAAACATTAGATGTTGGAGTTTACCTTACAGATCCCTCCTTGTTGGTGATGTGTGATCTATTTGCATGTATACTATGATAAGAAGATTGCCCATCCTTTATACAGGTGGTGTGTATGCAAATCTTTTTGCACAATACATCAAAATGTGCTGGTGAAACCCCTCCATGCCAGATGTGCTTCTAAAAATGAGTGAAAATAATGAAAATGATATTATCATCAAAGTTTTTTAGTAAGATAAATCCTTTAAACATTAACATATACAATTAAATCACAAATGTAGGTCCATTTGTGTCTCCATATAAAGATGCTGTCAACATTTAACATTCTATAAGTAATAGACATTATGAACTTTGTATTAATCAGGACATATTATAACTCATAATTTAGGAAAATAAATCCATATAAAAATTTCACTTCAAACTGCAAGCATATCTTATCAAAGACAGGCATATCTCCCTTGCAGAATAAATGGCTCCAACTTTGGAGCCATTGGCTCTTACATTTTCTGATTGGCTATTCTGGTGGTGCAAACTAAAACTGATCCAGAGAGAACCCTATAGAAAATATTAATTTATTTCATTGTACCGGGTGAGAACATACCTCAAGTTGAGATAGTATATCATCTTATTCAGAAAACTTTTATCCATCAAAACACCAGTCAGATCTTTCAGGCCATGTGCATGTTGTTTCCTTGCAGCCATGGTTTGTTCTGATTTCTAATGAACCATGATTGTACTAGGCATTGGTGTAATCTGAAAACAGAATGTGACAGAATCCATTCATGCTAATTAACTATATGATTTAGACACTAAAAGATATTATACCCTGTAATAAAATATCAAGACAAATAGCATGCATTAAACAACGACAACAAGTTTAATGAAACATTACTAGGCATTTCACAACTATTTGACAAATAAAATGCTTACCATAAACCTATGAAGTATTCCACATTATGCAACAAAACATCTTGCATGCATTAATTTTCTTGCAACAAATGACAATTATGTATTGCTATCTAGAATTTTATTTAAATATTTCTTGAGCAACAGAAAATCATATAAAAATATCAAAAATTCAAACAAAATAAAACATAAAATAAATGTTTACATACCATGAATTGTTTCTAGTTTGTGGCAGTTTTACAACTAAACCAGAAATGAATTGCTATGTCACAATTCCACTTCAAAAGGATTTTATGGGCTTTCTTTAGTGCTACCTGAAGATTAAACCATATCTTGCTTAAGAAAATAACAATCATGCAATTCCTTTTCATTTTAGCGAAAAATATTCTACTTAAGAATTGTATATATTCAGACTACACCAATATAAAAGAAAACGTTTTACTATGTATGACATAAATCAGTCCTTGTTATTTACAATAAGTAAAGTTAACACTAGTCTGTTAAAAAATCTTAGTTTACAATTTTTGATATAAAGTTATTCAGGATAAGTACAAGTGTTGAAATTTTTGGCCATGTATGTTCAACCTTCAGAATTTCATTATCATAATTCCTTTACTTGTGCAAAATACTTGACCGCTTCACATGCAATAAACATTTCTGTGCTACAAACCAATGATATTTTCAAATATTTTTAAAACCAAATAATTCATAAAATTATAACCCCTAAATATTTATAGTAATTTTGAAAGGTATTGGGTAAATTACAACCTGTCATCACTTAACTCCTTTCCAGACACCTCCGACAAAAAATTGTGTCCTTACTATCTCCTGCACATGCATTGGGACAATCTTTAATGTCCTTGGACTTGTAACATGTGATGATGATGATGTAATTGATCTATTTCTGTAATTGAAAATATAGCATACTAGTACCAAGGCCTAAAATCTTTACTATTCAAAGCCATTCAAATAAGTGAATTGAAGCAATGCTTATTAGGAAGAAGGGTTGTCATGTGATTTAGAATCATTTAACGTTTTCAGGACAATCACTTTTTTGATCTTTCTGTTATCTTCCATGATTACTGTTAAAAATGAAATTTTACTGCGGAAATGACTCAAATAATACAAAACAATTGACTTTTTAACTATTTTCACGTTGACTTTTTTTCATTTTCTACTTTATGTCTTTGAATACATGTATTTGTCAATCCTGGATAGTAGTCCATTATATTCAACATTATGGGCTTGTTATAGATTATGTCGGTCAAGCTTGCTTTTGGCTCAAAAGCAAAGATGTCTCAAAATCAAAGTGAAGTCACATTTATAGATCAACCCTTGATAGTTGAACATGCTTTGAAGAAATGCCTGTTCTGCTAGTCAATAGTTCTACATGTAACCCTCTTTGAGTCATGTGTGGCTGGTCTATTACACAGTAGTGTAATTACCATGCCAGTTGTACAGTTTATCTTTCCATTTACACTAACAGTAAAAACAATAAATTAAAATTTAAATGTGATGGGTAAATAAGTTTAATTAATAACATTTTCTCAAAATGTAATTATTTTTGTTTCTTAAATAATTTTTAAAAGATAGTGTTTGGAGATATTACAATCATGATAATAACATGCACAATATATTCGGAATGGATCAGGCTCGGCCGATCATTTAGTAAGGGTACGAAAATTACAGTGAACGAAAACTTAACTCACAGACGTGGATCTGCAAGCTAAGTTTCTTTATCATATGTCAATACAATTCTAAAAAAAACACAATATGTATGTTTATATATTCATAGGTAAAATTATTCTTATAAGTTAGACCAAGAAAAAATTAAACGCAAACAAAAATGATAATCAGTATTCACCTGTCAATCAGAAAATGTTTCAACTTCACGGTCGCTTTTGGCTTTAATTTCCCTTTTTAGAATTTTTCACCGCCTTGATTCACTACCGATATATATCCTTCATTGAATGAAATCACGGTTTCTTTCCACTTTTCCTTTCCGAATCTGAAATCTTCTTTCTCTTGTAAGCCTATACGTTCACACCTTTCGTCTTGTCCGCCATTATTTTGGTTTGACATATATCAATCACGTGACTCCGATCCGAACATTTACGGAAATAATCGAAAGGCTTCCCGCCAAAATATAAATCTTATTTGACTAACCCAGTCAAATAAGAAATTGTAATTTTTAGAATGGCCAGAAATGTTACGGAGAGGGTTTCTAAGTTGGAAAACTTTGTCAATACTAGTTAAATTATGCATTTGATAACAATAAGGTGTTAATTTGACAATTTATTTTGATGAATTTGAACAGGAATATAACTTTAAATGTTGCACCAGAATTGACCATTTCCAAATGGCATCTTTCTGAATTGGTAACTACCTTCTGTTGGATGTCTTGATTTTGCTTCAATTGGTATTTGCCAAAAACCTTTGGTCAAATCAATTTTTGTGAAGAACTTATCTTCCTTTAGCTTTGCCATCACATCCTCAACATTACCCATTGGTTCTATATCAAACTTTGTTACAGAGTTGAGTCGTCTGAAGTCAATACAAAAGCGGTTTGTATTATCCTTTTTCTTCACCAAAACAATTGGAGAATTATAATCAGAATTTGCTGGTTCAATGATACCACATTCAAGCATTTTCTTAATTTCATTCTCTACCGCTGTCCTTTTTGCATATGGTATCGTATATTGTCTAACACGAATTGGTGTTTTGTCAGTCAACTCAATCTTGTGAGATTCAAGATCTGTAGTTCCGGGAATATCAGTAAAAATATCCTCAAATTCTTGAAGCAACGCATTTACTTCTGATTTTTGTTCAAGTGTTAATTGATCATTAACATTAACATCTCTGTACGTCTCTTCACCCTTTGTGTCTACTAGTTCTAAAAGATTTTCGTCATCAACTATCCCAGTATCATCATTACTTTCAGCTTCTATTACAGCTACACTCGAACATATTCTATCTTCGCGTTCTTTATATTTCTTCAGAAGATTTATGTGGTACATCCCAATTCTATCACCTACTTTTACTTTGAAGTCAAACTTATTAACTGCTTCAATTACAACAAATGGACCTTTCCATTGTAACAACAGTTTATTGTGTGTTGAAGGCAGGTGTAATAAAACTTTGTCTCCTTTCTTAAGACTTCTTGGTCGTGTTTTCTTATCATAATGATGTTTATACTCTTCTTGTGAGTTGCTGAGATTCTCTATAGCAATCTTGCATGTTTGTTCTAATCTATTTCTCAAATCTAGGACGTACTCATACGTATTACGTGTCTCTGGTACTTCTGTCTCTGTCCATAATTCTTTTAGTGCTTGCATGGGACCTCTAACAGTTCTTCCATATAGAAGTTCAAATGGTGAGAACCCTGTACTTGACTGAGGGACTTCTCTGTATGCAAAGAGAACCGCAGACAAATATCTATCCCAATCCTTAGGTCGTTCTTGGCACATTTTTCTTCAACATGCTTTTTAGAATACCATTCATTCTCTCACAAAGACCATTACATTTTGGATTATAAGGGGGTTGTAAACAACTGTTTCAGTGATACAAGTCTACAAACTTCTTCCATAAGTTGTGACGTGAACTGACTACCCCTATCACTAAGTATTTCCGATGGGAAACCTACTCTTGCAAAAATATCTAACAATGCTTCAGCTATATTTTCAGTCTCGATTCTTGGGAAAGCAAAAGCTTCTGGATAACGTGTAGCATAATCAACTACAGTTAATATGTACCTATTTCCCTTTTCCGATACAGGCGAAATTGGCCCTATCAAATCAACCGCAATTCTTTGGAACGGAGTATCAATAATAGGCATTTCACCTAAAGGAGCTTTCTGAAGTCTACCCCTGGGCACCGTCTTCTGACAAATGTCACAGGAACGACAAAATCTAGTTATATCACTAGAAATACCTGGCCAGTGAAAACTAGACTGTATTCTGTCTAAAGTCTTGCGTACAGACAAATGCCCACCCACTATAGATTCATGAGCTAATGACATAACTCTTTTGTGATATTTACTAGGAACAACTATTTGTCTTGTTTCAGACTTCAAGTCACCTTTCACCGTCTCAAATATTATATACAACACATCTTTTTCTACTGCATATCTAAATTTGTTACCACTTTTTGTTTTCATTATCTTGTTTTCCCTAGCATACTGCCACAAACGCTGTAACGTATTGTCATTTGATTGTTCTTTCTTCAGAACATCTACCGTAATTTCGTTATCTTCGACCTTCGGAACTTTAAGAGGTTTCATTGCTTTCTTCTCTTTCTCGGCCTGTGCTCTAGTAACAACAGCAGCTATGTTTGTAACTTCTCGGCTAACCCACTTCTCATTTGGCTTATCAAGTACACCCTGAATATTGCCCAATACTAAGTCACAAATTGCTGACTCTAAAACCATAGCTTCTATTTCACCCTTATAATAAGGCGTATCAATGTCTATTTTTGCCATGGGTACCAACCTGGCCCGACCATCTATTGCTATCATGACACAATTTTTATTCAGCATTTGATCTCCTTCCACTAACTTCTTTCTAACTACTGCTAACTCGCAACCAGTGTCTCTAAGAACTTTCACCTCTTGATTACCAACATATCCTAGTTTCAGATCCAGTTGACGTTCACCTTCTAATGATTCAATTGTACAGCTACTTGTAATGACAGGCACGGAATTACCATTGGCTAATTTAAGTTTCCCCTCTTCAATACAGCCATCGTAAGAACTTGTTGGAGAAATTGACATACATAACCCCGATACTTTCTTATCATCTGATCTCCCATCACGTCTATTTTCTCCAGGCCTACTACGCCAGTTCCTTGGTGAAGAATCCCGATTTGTTTTAAAGTAATTTCTATTTGCTCTCAATATGACATTGCAGCAGCCCCATATCTTTTCTTAGTCTGATCTCGACAATCTCTGGCCACATGACCCTCTCTATTACATATGAAGCATGTAACTTTTCTATTTTCTCTTTGATAGTGGTGTATTGGTTTCGAAAGGTTACCTTGATTAAGGCGTATTGGTGATTTATTTGAAAAGCTGGCACTTTTTGAGCTTTTACTATTTGTAATTGTACCGCCATGAGCCTCTAAAATAGAGAAAAACAGAATCCCTAAAGAAAGTCCAACACAACAAAATTGTATCTAAGTATTGTTCAGCCAAAGAGATGACATCTCTACGATCCTTTGGCTTCCGTTCCTTAAGAAAAAGAGCTAGCTCCGTTGAACAAACTTTGACAAATTGCTCTCTAATAATAAGATCTTTCAATTTATCTACTGTATCCGCAGCATCGGCCATTTCTGTCCATCTACTAAAGTACCTATCTAAGCGAGCCATAAATTGGTTTACAGTCTCCCCTTGTTCCGGCTTACTCTCTCTAAATTTATTTCTGAAACCATCTTCTGTTAATTGGTATCTTTTCAAAACTGCTGTTTTTAATTCTTGATAGTCTGATGCTTGCTCGGGAGGCATACTAGTGTAAACTTCAAGACCTTTCCCCGTTAATAAAGAACTAATATAACTCGATCATGTGTGATTTGGTAAGCAGGACCACCCTTTGAAGACGGAATACTACTACAGTCACCATTCTCTATTGTATAAAACTAATACAGACAAAAACAATTATAAAAGAAACTAACTTTTGCGTCTTGAAAAACAATTGAAACAGAACAATTTCGTTTATAATTTATTACGGTTTAAACCGATAAATCAAGTAAAAATAGAAATCCTATTTATATAAACAAACTGGGATTACCGAAGTAACTAAAATAGCTAAGATTTCCGTAATATTACTTCGTCTGATTCCGCAGTATGACGGAATCGCCCGAATTGTCACGATTGCAATCGGAACTACATCGGCTATTATCATTAATCCGAAGAGTGACGGAAAAGGCCGAATAGTTGCGATTGGCACGATTGCAGCTGGTTTCCCGTTCAATCATACACTAACAATTGGAAACAGGAAACCACCTTACCGGAACAAGTTATTCAAAACAATAACCGCTACACACTATCAGCGTGTCTCTCCTAACTGATGTAAAATCTCTCTCAAAACGCGCATATTTGCTAGCTTAAACGATTTGACCTTTAAACATGTATGCATACAGCGACTGGATTAAACATGATATTTACACTCTATTTAAAACAATGTATCACTTGTAAAGAATATTAACTCGTTGTTTCATCTACAACAATATATCACTGTAGGGAAATATTAACTCGTTGTAAGATACATATCTACATATAAACTTCATGATTATTCAATGAATAAAGGGATTCTATGAAAGATTAGAAAAAAATGATTTAACCCTCAATATGAGCCATTTAGCTGTTAAGTTTAGCCCCTGCAAATGCTGCAGGTAATTGAGACAATATTAGAACTAGAAGCACTGTCCTATTATTTCTGACTAAACTCTGATTGATTGCTAATTGATTCTTCACACCCACAAATGACAAACATGCATTATTGTTATTTTTTATTTAACCTTTACCACCTAGTGATTTCCCCTTTTTTTAAAGGCTGTTTAACCAGTAGCCCAAAATAGGTATATTTTCTCCTGAAAATGCTAATATTTTCCCCTTAAACCCCTGTGCACATTCTTCACAGGAGGATAACTTAACATCAGCTAGAAGACAGAAAGCTGTCCCTATAGATAGCCTCTGCTTTTACCATGCATGTTAATGGAACTCCACTGAGCTTTAAAAGCCTAAACCATAAATGAGCTGGGGCACTTTAAACAGAAATATATGCAAAGGTAATTAAGAAATATACTTTTAAATAAATTGAACATATTTTTATGCTTTTTTAGCCCGATTTGAGTGAAAAGCGTTGAAAAGCTTTTCATTTTGCATAATTCTTTTACAATTTGAATAATTGTTCTGGAAAAACGAAGTGCCTGAATGATCTGAAAGTTTGCACAAAGATTAGTGGTCTAAACTTACATATTAATGGTACATTTATCAGAAAAAATATTTTCAGTGCCTTCATGTCAAAATACCTCAGTGGAATCC